AATATTTTTATGAAAGGTTACGTCACGTCGCCTCGGTGACGTATATATATATATATATATATATATATATATATATATATATATATATATACACGAGGCGACGTCGCCCCGCTTGGGAGAGGAGAGAGGTGACGTCGCTGAATTATATATATATATATATATATATATATATATATATATATATATATATATATATATATATATATATATATATTCTGAGCGGTATACCGAATTGTATACCGTTCGGTATATAGTATATCGTACCATACCGAGCGAATGTCGAAACTCCGGTACGGTATGATTTTTCAATCATTGGAGAAAAAATATATATTTTTAGTTTTCTCTCTATGCAGTCAGAATCTGCTAGCAACTTCTTTCATTTAGGCTGAGATAAAAATTAAGGTAAACATATTTGGCTCTTCAGAATGCAGGTCCTGAAGCATCAAGCTCTTTGGATGGTTTTTCTAGTCCTGAGAGGGAAGAAGCTGATTCTCTTTTTGGGTCTGAGTTAGATGATAATGTTGATTCTGAGGTGATCCCTATGTTCTTTCTCTTTTCTTAAATGCTTATATTACTCAATGCATGTGGGTGGTTTAGGCTACCATTAGTGGAAACTTAGAGAAAATATGCATTATTGGACTCTTCATCTTGCTATTTATACTGATTCTTAGCTTGGAATTTTTATGCTCAGGTCCACATGTCCATTTATTGTAGTTTGTTCTGAATATTGTGCAAGTTCTATCCTGTGCCACGATATTGTTTTGCTTGTGATAAGTCCTATTGCATTCGCTCTTGTAATGGAGGCAGGTTTGCTTTTTTCAAGTTATTAGCAGTTGTGGGATCCCTTGATTGCATCTTCATGGTACACTAACGCAAATGAAATCAGGTTCCTAATAATAAATTTTTAACAAAAGATAAGTTTTTTGTCCTCATGTTGAACTTCTGATTTTTTTCCTTTTAAAAGTTGCAATACTGCTGCACCTCCTGGACCCCCTGGATGACTTGGGCTGACTGTTGCTTGGATCAAAACCAGAAGTAATTGCTTTCTGATAAGGAGACCTGTCGCCTAAAATTTCTGTTGAAGGAAAAAAAAAAGTAAGGAGAAATGTGGACTATAGTTTAGAGAGTGGTTTGGGTATATAAACTGAGAGCTGTAGGGAACAGTGATGCAAGAAGATACCAAGTTAAAATAACAAGATTAAGGTGACTTCTTGATTTATATTATCGGATGTGTTTATACTGTTACCTCTTTATGGGCAATACAGTTGCCTATTTATTTTCTTAAGTTAATCAGGTAAATTTGGGAATCAACTGAGTCAATTAGTTTGATAGGTGGCTAAAAGCCTAAAACTATAACAGAAAGCATGCCATGTGATTGTACAAGTTGTAGGACCCTATTATGCCTCAAATTTGACCAGCTCATGACCAGTTAAGAAGATTCAGTTAGCGCATTCTATTGCAACTGTAACATATTAGATGTCCTGATTCAAATTACTCATTATTTCTGAAACATGAAAACTTAAATAAAGATGAATGACACTTGATCAGTATTAAGTAGTAAAAATAAAAAAAACACAACTTTAGATTAAACCAAATTTAACTTCAGAAAACGTATAGCAGTTGGGAGCATAATTAGTTGATGGTCAACTTGATTCATTTGAAAGTCCAGCTCTTGTACACATGCATGAAGAAGTTAGTCTACATCCACTAGGACATTTTTTTGAGGTTATGCTTTGTTGACATATATAAGGAAATAGAAAAGTCCAAGGTTGATCCTTGCACATTTCAATTCCTAATTGTACACATGCATAAAGATCTTCCTCGGTATCTCTCTCTGTCTCCTCCTCTTCCTCTGCCATCGCATAGTCCCTTCACCCTCGTCCCTCCCTTCCCCTCCTCCCCCTCACACCACCCACCCCCCCCCCCCCAGGGCTCCCCACCATCGCAGTTGCCACCACCGATCCCTCCTCCCTTTTCCCCCTTCGTCGCAGCTGCTCCCTTCCCCGACACCATCCTCCTTGTCCTTCTCCTTTGACCTCCCTCTTCCCCCCTTCATTGCAACCCTCGCCCCACAGCCTCCCTCCTCTCGTCGCAACTTGCTGCAGCTCCTTGTTCTTGATAGCATGCTCCTCCTTCCTACCGTGGCTCAAGAAATTTATTATTAATTTTGATGTTAAATTTAAATTATTAATTTTTTGCTATAATTTTAAATAATATTAATTTTGATGCTAATCTTACTTTGTTTTGTTATTTTATTATTAGATTATGACAATCTAGCAGTTTAATGTTTTGTTGCTAGTTAAATGAATGTAATTTAATATTTAGTGGTGGTAATTTGAATTTAAAATTATATGGAACTCATATCTTGTCTAAATTTTATATTAATGATGTTAATTATATTCTTTTATCATTTTATATTGACGAACATCTCGTTTCGCTTGGGTGAGTGCCTAGCACCTCGGACGCTTTGGAACCTTGGCACTTATTGCCTTTTTGATGACACTGATTAGATGTGGGAGCAGTTCCATACATGGGTCTTATAGACATACCATATCGATCTATAATGGAGTGATATCAGGGACCCTAACTTACCTTTCATCGACTTATGATGATCATTTTAGTGGTAGGTGCAGGTATATGATCATATTTGACATTGAATTGATCATGCTTAATTGCTTAGATACTAGAACTTGTTTGTGTATACATTTATTCTTTAGATACAACTGATGATCCTTTTCTCGTTTGTTACAAAGAATATTTATTTATTTTTTAGTTTGAAACCAGTTTAATTTTGTTTGTATTATTAAGAAAAGGTGAGAAAGAGTCCTAAAAGAAGAATTTTTAAGGTTTTAACTAATTGAAACGGGTCTGATTGTAAAATTACTAATGAAGAAGGGAGCTGGTACAATGAACTCCTTGCTATTGGAGGAGTTCAAACTGCAATTAGTGAGGGCTTTTTGATGCTGTAAATAGAGATAGATTGCTAGAATCCTCAATCAGTTGGAAGAACCATCATAAAGATTTTCGAATTGTGTTAGAAATCTTTTTGTGGCCTTTAGTGAACTCCAGACATGTAAAGTTATTCATAATTTTTTTAGAGAGGCTAACCGTTGTGCACACTGGTTGGCTAATTTTGCTAAATGTAATCAGTTATAATGTATTTGATGGTCAAACTGGCCTCCTGATTTGCTCTCTTTTGAGCTTCAAGGAGCAGAGCTTAGGTTGTTACCTAGTAAAGTTGAACCTTGCTTTTAAGGATGTGACAACAGTCTTATCCTTCTCTTCTTCTTTGCCTTTCTTATTCTCCCTCTCTGCCTTCTTTTCCTCCACCTCCACTTCTCTGTTTTTTTTCCTCTCATCCTCCTCAGTCTTGTTCACCACCATATACTCATTTTCTTCCCCTTTTCCTTCTCTTCGACCTCCACCTTGTCCACCACCACTACCTCCTCTTCCTTTCTTCTCATCTTATCTCTCTTTCTCGATGGTTTGAATGGTTGTCATATCCTAGATTTTTTCATAAAATTACAACATCTTTCTATAAGTACATCAAGAGCTAAGTAAATAAATATTATTTTATTAATATGCATAAATTATAAATATTTATTATAATTTATTTATTCATTAAATATAAATCAAAAGTAGTTATGGGCTTTATTGAGAAACATAGTGTTGCCCACTCAAAAATAAAGTCTAGAATCTGGTTAGTGCTATTGGGAGATTGTTCTGAAAATCAAAAACAAAATAAAGAAATTTCAATAACGTTAAATAGGAACGCCTCTAAGTCAATTGTAAAATAAATACATGTCCGAAAGTCAATCATCCCAGTGGAGTATATCAAATACCTGAACGAGCACTCCCTCAACAGCGGATGGAGAGGCTTTATCCTACGGGGCGAGTTTGTGTTCTTCCAATAGCGGATGAAGATAAAACTATATCGCACTCTCAATAATTGATGGAGTGGTGTTCCTCACTCGTCAAAGTGGGGGCACATTCCTCCTAACAGTGGACGAAGGAATCGTCCAATCGCCACATCTGACGGCTTGCTAATCTCCTAAGGAAATCACCCTACGTACTTTCAGTAGGGAAATAAAATCATCTCATACTAGTCATGTTTATATCGGGATGAAATAATACATTAAAATATCTCAATTTATCTTTTAAACATAATTAATATCAAATAATATCAATCAAGGTATGCAGTTTCGAATAATACCGCTCGTACTGGGCAGTACGTACCGGTTCGTCAGTTGACTGGTACACAGACCGCTCGTTACTGGATGAAATATATATATATATATATATATATTTATATATAAATATTTTTATAAAAGGCGACATCACCCTGCGTGAGAGAAGGAAAAGGTGACGTCGCGTCGCCTTTTATAAAAAAAATATAAATATAAATAAATAAATATAAATAAATAAATAAATATATATACCGAGCAGTATACCGAACGGTATACCGCTCGGTATATAGTATCGTACCGTACCGTACCGAGCAAATGTTGAAACTCTGGTACGGTATGATATTTCGATCCTTTATATCAATTAGCCCATAATTGACTTGAACCCTAGCTCAATCGATTAAATTGAACTCGATTTAACTAGAACCCAGCTGAATCGGTCTCTAATCATCATTTAACTAGTATGGAATTATCCTAGATTGGTATAATTTGGATCAGATTGGGTTCAGTTCAGGTTAAATAGACTTGAATGTCAAACTAGTTTGGAAACACCTTGAATCGATTTAAACTGATCAAATCTGATTCGGTTTAATCAATATTTGGGCCAAAATCAAATAAAGGACAATGAGATAGATTGTATAACGCTGGGCTAGGTTGGGCTAACCCATGTATTGGTCATGTGCATTGCACATGACTATACATGCACCAGATCAGGCTGGGCCAACCCATAGCTCATGGGTTGGTCATGTGCACCGCACACGACTGCTCATGTTGGGTTGGGTTGAGCTAGCCTACAAGCTGGGGCTTGACCTAGGAGTTGGGTCTAGCTTGTTGGTTGGGTTTGGCCAATTGGCTGGACCTAGTCTGCGGGCTATGGCCTAGCCTATTGGTTGATTTCAACCCAAATTCAAACCAGTTCTCTCAATTCCAAATTATGACATCATGAAATTATAATCAAAACATTTATTCATTAGCATTCAGTTATTAAAACATAATAAATAACAGCAGATTAAAAAGATAAAATTACATAAAGGAGAAATAATATTTTTAATAAAGTATTATATAAATCTAATGGAAATCAAATATCATGCATCCAAGATAAAAATTTTAGAAACTGCATATGACATGAATAATTGCAATATGGTTTAATCCCAAAATAAAATTTTAAACCTTTAAAGGGATAAGAGAAAATTTTAGAAACTTCATATAACGTTAATAGTTATAACAAGTTTTAATCCATTTATAAAATTTTAGACATTTAAAGGAATAGAAGAAAATTTTAGAAACTGCATATAATATGAATAATTATAACATGTTTTAATCAAAAGATAAAATTTCAGACATTTAAGGGAATCGAAAAAAAATTTTATTTTTCAAGAAAGGTAGGGGAACCTATCTCTCCTTAGTAGGATGCAACTCCTTGTTCCTGCTGCTAGGCTTGGCTTGGTAAGGAATGAAGGAGAGAAATCCTTCTCCTTAAATAGGAGGTGAACCCTGCACAAAAGGTAATTTTTTTTTATTTTTATCTTTATTTAATCTGTTTTCATTAATTTACTGACAAAAATGACATCACCCTATTTGGAATGTTGAATAGTTATTTCCTAAATTTCATTAGCAAGAAATGAAATGAAAAATTATGCTTAAATTGGGGAATTGATTACAATAGTATTGATCTATGTTGAGCGTCGATATGCTAATGGATACCAATTCTAGACTAGTCTGATTGCTAATTGGTACTAGACAAACCATAAAAAATTGCCAAGAGGATGCAAATAACATAATTATGTTGTGCAAAACAATAGGTTGTGCTTTTGTTTAATAAAGCTAATGAAATAAACACGATCAAGTAGGAACAAAGCAAAAGAAGAGATAGAAACAAAAAAACTGTAAAATAAAACTAAATAGGAGAGGTATGCCTCAACAACCCATATATAACACTGTTGTGGAGCCAAGTAATGAACCAGCTTAAGACACTACCCCAAATGCCCATATAGCTATGTGCCACCCGGGTAGCTCAACGTGTTGTGATAGTTGACATTTCTGGCTGCTCTGTGCACATTAAAAAACCCAAAATGGTTGTCTGGTGGCTTTGTTTTTGGGCAGTTTTGCCTCCCCATGATAGGTAGATTCTGTTTTTCTTTAAGAAGCAATTCGGAGATTCGTAAAGAGGAGGTGGAGGAGGAGAGGTCTGGTATTTATGATGGAGGAGAGGCGATGACATGGGTGAGCAGTTGTAGAGGGGAGGAGCAATGGGGCTGTCAAACTGAAAGAACTGACAACAGAATAAGAGAAAGAAGAGGGAAAGAGAGCACGTGATCACTAGCATCAGACAATAAGACGTGCAGTGGAGGAGGGGTGGTACTAGTGTAGAGGAGGCAATGCAGATTAACTGTAAGAACCACTAGCAGAAGAAGAGATGAGAAAATGTGAGAATACAAAAGATATGATGGGCACTGGTATTGGATGATCCAGCTCAATATCAATCAGTTTATCACCCGGATAAGACTGACTGAAACTGCTTGGTCTGCATGTTGGTCAGCCGTTTGATCTGTAAAAGCCAGATCTTAGTCATGATCAAGATGTTACTTTGCTGTTCCTCCAGTGTCATTGGGTTCTTGGGTGAATGCAAGTTGATTGCCCTAGTTTGTCATCATTCTCCTAATAAAGAATTCAGATCATCGAAATCTGAAGGAGAACACAATGCATTAAAGTGAAAGTTGCCGCCCACCAACACAAATCAAACTGAAAGAATAAAGTAACAAGACAAAAGCTATTTACTCATTTGAGGAGGAAATTTGACTCTCCTTAATAATTCCAGATTTTTTAAGTTCCCAAACTCCTCATCTCAAAGTTCTTATGGCTTTACCTATTGAAACATCTAAACTTTTAAAAATAAATGAAGAATAAAGTTAGAACAAATTAAATAACCTACAAAATGAACAATTTAAGAAAGAGACTTAAGGCTATTGATTTAGTAGATTTGTGGGTGGAGCCATAATTGCCTGTTGTGGTGAAAATATGTACACTCAGATTGCAAAATAAAGTTGCAATGCTTGATTTAGGGGAGGGTTAGATATTTGTTTGTAATGAAGTAGAATGCTTGAATCGATGGGCTTCCTGGATGATACTGTCCCACTTCCATTTCCAAAATCAAAGTGATGGAGAGTAGGGTAGTGGTGGAAGGTAGCAAAACAGTTGAGAGGAGCAGAAGGTTGCCTGATAGAATACCACCATTTAGCGAACTCATTAGGTAAGGTAACAATTTCATTTAGTGATTTAATTCAGTTGAAGTGCTGCAGTAGTTTGTCTTTTGCACATAATGAGCCTATATGGCAGAATCTGAGTGGAGATATGTTATAATTATTCTACAGTCAGGTTACTTTCTTTTCCCTCTTTTTTCCCTAGTGGATTTGAAGATTCTTTTAGGAAGGCTTGTGTTCATAATTATAGCTTGGGATAGTTACTTTCTGAACTTCCTAATAGTGTTCTCAAATTTCTTTTAGTTGCTTGTTTGCTTAATTGGATTCCTAGAAGATCAAAGTTTTTCTAGTTTCAGCAAGTCATATGTTGCATTTTTTTTTTCTTAAAAGGGTAGTCAATTGGTGTCCGATTTGAACTTATAAAAGGTGTGGAAGTATTAGAAGTCTATGGAGTTGATATAACTTTTTGAAAACTTAATACAATAGCTAGCTGTTTTTCTTCTCATTTCCTTTCTCTTCTTTATTATTCTATTTTTGTGTCATTCTTATATCTGGGTCTGATTAATTACCTTGAGCATGTTTATGTTCCATCTGAGATTTTTGTGACAATGCCTGATATATGAGATTATGATCTAGTTTATTTTTACCGGGTAGATGGTGTTTGGTTTTGGTTAATTATCTGTTATGTTGGCCTTGAATTGTCAACCACTTGCATAATCTTGTGGAGCTTTCATTTTGCCCAAATTTGTTTTGCTTTAATTAGAGCCATTATGGTATCCAAATGTGATAAGGAATCAAATGATCTAATATTGACTCTGAACTAATAAGAGGCTACTACAATCAGATATCGGATTGGCATACCCATGCTAACATGGATGTTTCATAAATTCTATTTTTGTTGCTGAGGTTCTATTATGGTTCACTTTATAATGATGCATCTTGCTTCTTTTTTGCTTGAGCAATTCATTTGATGTGTTGATTTTAATCATATTATTTTCTTGTCTTGGTAGAGGATTTTCTTACTCCAGAATAGTGTATCCTTAGCTGTCCTTGTGGTTCTCTTTTATTTTCCTCATATTTTAATCTAATTAACTGATTGGTATTACTACATGGATTGCTTGACTGTGGTTAATTTGGTTTCATAAATATTCATTTTGGCGAAGGAATATTCATGTTTTGCCATTGCGGCCTTACATTGATTGAAATGATTATCCGCTTTATTTGACTTCAAATTTAACTTGTCTTGAATTTTCCTCATATGTCACAGTACCACAATGTGCCTTCTGTTCAAGATGGAGAGAAGAGATTGTACCTATTAGCCATGAACTTTGCAGAAGAAGAAGTTGATTTGGCACTGAAACAGCTTGGCATGTCATGCTTGCCTCAAATGAATGGATTTGCATTTATCTATTTTTGCCTTGGGAATCTTTAAATGCTCTATGTTCATTGCAGTCTGAAAGTACTTGCTAATATTACTTGAAAATTATTTCTTTATTTTTTGATTTGATTTTTGAGTATATTGTTTGTTTTGGGTGATTCTTTAAAAGAGTTTTACATGTTTGTTAAGCAATAAATATATTTAAACATTGTTGAGTAGAGACTGAAAGTGCATTTAGTCATATTTAGGACTGGAGGCAAGTGTTTTGCTCATTTGAATCACATTGACAAGTGGGTGCACAAGCTATTGTTATTTACTTTTGGTGACTGTAAATATAAATAAGCTGAGATCAACTTACTGTGCTGCTACCCTGCTGTTGGCTATACGTTTAGGTTCTTTCCCCTCATCTAAGCCATAAGACTGCAATATTCTAGTTGAATGTTGTTTGTTGAATTTTTGGACCTTTCAAGCTATGGAAATGCCATATGCAATTTGTAGAATTAAAAAAGACAAGATAAAATGTAGTTGTGTCGCTTTAAATGGCACATTGTTCTTGAGAAAGTTTGCCTAGCTTTTGTTGAGTATGTTTTTGGGTTTTGTTTGCAATAATTTTAGAAACTTGGATCTGTCATCAGTTGAAAAATGTTAAACAGCAGCAAAAGATTTCAAAAGGCAAAAAGAAAATAAAATGTAAGCATGTCAGTTCAAGTGCTTCGGCCTTGTGGTTAATATGACAATATTGATCATTTTGCTGAGTACTTGGACCTTTAATGAGTTGGATATGCCAAATAATTGTTGTTGATTCTGAAAATACAGCATAGATTGTATCCATTGAGTACCTAATATTTCAGTTGTTTTGAAAGTGAAATGCAGTTTCCTGGTGTTTTGCAAGTTTTATGTCGGTAATGATAGTAGCACTGATCGTTTTATATACTTTCATTGGTCTCGTGTTTTTGCAGCTTTGCTTTATATCCTGATCATGTATAATTTAGCTTAAAAAGTTTCGTTATTGAAATTGGAACACCCTGATTAGGCCCACATTGGAAGTGGGCTAAGACTAGGAATGATTTATTAGAGTCTAATAGATGTACTTTTGTTAATTTTAGCTTAAGAATTTTGGTCATTGGTTATTGCAATTGGAACACCTTGATTAGGCCCACATTGGAAGTGGGCTAAGACTACGAATGATTTATAAGAGTCTAATAGATGTGCTTTTGTTAATTTTAGCTTAAGAATTTTGATCATTGGTTTGGAGTGACAGACTAGTTATCCTCGTCACAATTGGTATCAGAGCCAACCTAGTATTGGGGTGTGGTAAGGGGCTCGAGTAGGTTAGGGTTACTCGTGGACAGGGTTAGAGAATACATCATGGCATGGAGCGACCACTAGGCTATGCCTCACATGCATTATGCTAAGGCTTGATCTGGGCCGTGTTGTACTTTGATAAAGACATCAAAGCCCAACATCGAAAGTTGTTCTATTTTGTACCTAGTGGCTTCTGATGTTGGGCTACTTGTTGTTGTGGTAGTGGTTTAGGTCCCTAGGAAAGAGAGCTTTAAAATTTTGTCTTTTCTTATGTGAAGGATGGAGGAGGATGTCACTTGTTACAACTTGTAAGGACACAAAAGATGATTAGTTTTAATTCCTGGGAAATCAATTTAAATATATGTTGAGCAGTGTTGAGCTGATGAAGTAATTTGCTTTGAATATTTTGTTGTAGTTTGGTGCATCATCGGCAATCCTCTTGGAAATTGGAGGAGAAAATAGCCCGCTGTACACAACTTCCTCAAATGCTAAGGCTTGATCTGGGCCGTGTTGAGCTTTGATAAAGACATCAAAGCCCAACATTGGAAGTTGTTCTATTTTGTACCTAGTGGCTTCCGATGTTGGGCTACTTGTTACCATGGTAGTGGCCTAGGTCCCTAGGAAAGAAAGCTTTAAAATTGTCTTTTCTTTTGTGAAGGATGCAGGAGGATGTCACTTGTTACAACTTGTAAGGACACAAAAGATGATTAGTTTTAATTCCTGGGAAATCAATTTAAATATATGTTGATCAGTGTTGAGCTGATGAAGTAATTTGCTCTGAATATCTTGTTGTAGTTTGGTGCATCATTGGCAATCCTCTTGGCAATTGGAGGAGAAATTAGCCCACTGTACACAACTTCCTCCTCAAGGGCTGATATCCTAGCCGATTTGGAGGCTTTGAAGGTGGAGATCTTCAGTGGCTGATCATCGGGATGCATTTCTTCATGTTCCATCTCTGCCACTGAACCAAACATCTTTGAGTTTTGTTCCTGCAAATAGTGACAATCCAAGTGAGCCTTGGTGTGGCTGACCTTATGTTGGGGTAGCTGGTAGATCCCAATTATTGTAGATGCTAAATTACAATTTGCACAACTTGAAGAATGCATATGTCAAGGAAGTTTTTATGATTGATCCAACGATCTCTCCAACATGTGGAGGCTGGAGTAGGCATGTCAAAGGTTGTTTGTACACCTGGTAAGGCTGGACTAGAAGTAGTCTCCTAACCTTGCTCTTTGGTAGGCTCCAATCCATCAACTTGTTTTTCCATTCATCATTGCTAAATATTAGGTTGGAGAGGATTAGTAGGTTTACTATGTTTGATTATGCTATTTTTTTAGTTGGATCTTGTGTAGATATGGTGATCACCCTTAAAATCTTCTTCTTTTCTGACTTCGATCAATCACTGATTTCCTGAAACTGGAGTTTAAGATTTTGAAAGCACAATAACATCCTCAATATCAACTCTTTGAGGCTGTCCTCTTGTACTTGAGCTATTGTAGATGAATAGTTAGACACCTTTGCTGATACAAAATTAATCGAAGTTTAGTGCCTCCTACTGATTGCCTTCTTTCTTTAAAGACACTTGCAAAAGAGAATCAAGGAGAAAGTGATAAGAGAAGAGGTATTGAGAGGAACAACACAGAGTATTGAGAGGGATCAAAGTTTGTGATGCCACTGGGATTTACAAAACTTTTATTTCTAGCATCTTACCCTTTCTCTATCTTCTATCTAAGCAATATGGGACTATTATAGATCTTTTATGTTTGTAGATAAAGTTTTATCTTGAATCTCTTTGAAAGTCCCACTCAAAGAGGACATTGTAGCTCTTAAAAGACAAGTGGAACTATGTACAGAAATACTCGACACCCATATTAGGTCTTTAAAGCCTTAATTAGACTCAGAATAAGGCTCTAAGGAGTTGTCAAAATTGCCTCTTGAAAGCATAACCAAATGATAGGTAAATTCCTAGCCCAAGTAGGTCCAGGACTTTCTTTAGTTACACAGGCTAGCCTAAAGACTCGGTCAGTTCTTGATTTGGGTATTGACTTGGAGGTATATTTAGATCGAGGAAGGGATCTTGTAATCATCTATGTTTTTGTCAATTTGCCATATCATATTAGTGACCCCTACTAATACCAAAATGCATGTTGTGGTATCTTAGTCCGTGGTTGTAGCTGGAGGTCAACATTATAGTTTTATAGAACTCATGATTTATTTTTGCTAGAATCTTGTGAGGATTTAAGCTAGATTTACGTACATGTAGCTTAGTCTATTTAAATCTAGTCAAATTTATGTGGATCTAGTCTAGAACTATGCAAATTTTGGATGAGTCCATACAAATCTAGGCTAGATCAGTATCTGGTTAAAATTTGTGGAGCCAACCAAGATCGCCACATAAATCTTGGTCGAATCCTTGAGTATCTAGTTTAGATCTGTGTGGATCAGGCTATGATCAACATAAACTTAGGCTGGATTTGCACTGATTCATCTGATTTAGATTCAAGAAGATCTACACTAATATGTAGACAGATTAAAAGTTATCATGAATCAAGCCTTACACATGGTACTAAAAAACAACCAAGGTTCGCCGTACCATACCGTACCGGCGTTTCGACCCGGGCTCGGTACCGGTACGGTACGGTATACCGCTCGGTACACCCAGGTGTACCGAGC